GACTAAAGTTTAAAGCTATAGGATAACCTATAGCTTTAAACTTGCAAACTGGTAAAAGTGTAAATTGGCATAAGTGCGCCAAACAGGTTAGCAAACAATACGAATAGGCATAAGTGCAAAATTTGATTACCTACAAAACAGTAACAAAAACTGGCAGAAGTGCGAACTGACATAAATGCATGTAATAAATTCGCAGTTTGGAATTATGCTAAATTTTGCAAATTTATTTGGCACACTTATGCCAGTTCGCATTTATGTTGTTTGCACTTTTGCGAGTTTTTGCAACTGCTTCACACTTATACCAGTTCCCACTTATGGCAATTCACACTTATGCGAATGTTTGTAAATCTATTTAGCCCACTTATGCCAATTTACACATATGCCAGTTTGCACTTATAGCAGTTTGCAATTATGCCAATGTTTGGAATTCTTTTTGTGCATTTATGCCCATTTGCACTTATGCCATTTGGCATTGTGCCAGTTTTTGTAACTGCTTCGCACATGTACTAGTTTGCGCGTATAAAATTCACGGTTATTCAGTCATCCCATTATGGTAAAACAGCTAACGTAGAGCCATGCATGGGATTTGTATAATGGATTGTAAGATGGGAGTAATATCATTATAAAATTAAACAGAGTATTTATAGGAATGCACTTTTAATTTACTAACCTCTTCATCATAGCTATCACAAGTTTTTGACAGTTCTTACTACTAATATTTTGAACTCTTTGTTTCTAATAGAAAGAAATAATGGAAATCTGACAATTCCTAATTAAGTAGTAAAAAGTATATATTGTAAAGAAAATTAAAAAAAAAGAAAAATCTGTCAAATCAGTATTTAGCAATTTACAACTGCAGAGATACTACTGAGTTACTAGATGAAACATTGTCAAGTACTGAGTCAAACTTATCAAATTCTATTATGCTGTTCATTTCAGTTACTACTTTTTCTTCACACTATTTTATATTAAGTTTTTTGCATCCTTGGGTTTTTATCTCATTTAAGAGAAGCAACACATAATATTGAAAGTCTAAACAAATTTACACTAATTAAATTTTACATTGTCTTAACTAAACTATGTAAATAAATTTAAAATACATAAATTTAACAATTTAACAACTTTACTGGTCTAAGCCTAAATCAAAGAAAAACTAATAGACAGTAAAATATCTAATAGTGGCAATGCTATATTATATATATTAGCATTTTTTTCAGATTTCGGATTAGACAAGAAAGATTGTTCCATAGATTTATAGTTTTGATAATATTGAAATAATGGATTTCATGAAGGTGATTATTTAAAGTTAAAATTGGAACCTCATCATTTTAATGATATTTTTTAATATTGACAGTCATGTTAGCATTTTACAACAAACATTACATTATTATTTTTAACTAAAGACTTACTTGCTTGAGATAATGGAAATCCATAATGTTTATCCTTTTTATTTAAAGATGATGAAGATTGATGTGTCTTAAAATGAATCTCTTGGTCATCACAATCAATATCATCTTTGTTTATTATTTTTTGACCTACAAAATACAAACATAGAGAATATTTGAATTTCATCTAACAACTTGTCTTCTCATGTAGCAATTTTACAATTAAAAATTTTTTACAAATTACTTTACAGATTATTAACTTTATAAGTAAAATAGGGTATATAGTATGGTATATAATATTATAGGTTTCATACTGCTAAACATTTGGTAATAACACCAGAATATCATTAAAGAATAAAAATTTTAAAATGACATTTTGAAGTAAGTTACTCCCTTTCTTGAAACAAATCATCATATTTTTTTCTTTCAGCCTTTTTCAACTATAGTAATTCTTTCATAAAAACCACTGATATTATTTTTAATTTTTAGAAGTTAAAGAAGAAAAATTCTGAGAATGTTGTTCCCTTTTCTCAAATCCAAATAGATTTTTTTGCGTTAAAAGCAGTTGAAAATTAAGTAGAATTAAAAACTTAATCTAGTTTCTTTAAGCATTCAAGTTTACTCAACAATTAAGTTACTTATTAGAGTAAAATAATCTAGCTAACCACACCATTAAAACTTTATTAATCATATCTACTTGTAGGTACGTGCGTAAATTCGGAATTTGCCGTAAAAACGCGAGCTAAAATCTGTGACCCGATTTTTGTAATTTGGCCAAGACACGTATTAGAGCAAACGACAGTGTACCGCTAATTATTGACCAATTTTTTTGAAATTTTGCACGTAGTTAGGAAAAAGGTTTGTCTAAATTTTGATACATTTTTAGACTACTTTACAAGAAAAAAGCATACATATTTTTTCATCATAAGTTGGCACATTTTTTCTATGAATCACAGCTCTGTAAATTATGACAGGTACTTTATGAAACTTTAAGGTATTGTAGATCATTTATTTGTCTAATATTGGTACAGTTTTTATATTAATCAGGTGTAGCGCACATTGGTTTTGGGTTTCCCCAAGCACCCTAGGTATTTCTATGAAATCCTGGATTTCTTGCCTTGTTACGCTGCGTTCGCATTTTTTCATTTCTTATAGTCACATGATAGTTTTTGAAACTCCGATTGGTGCAAAATGCATATTTATTAATTTGCTGTTTTTTTATAAACAACCTTGTGGCATTTGTAGATTCTTAAAAGGAATCCTTTTTGAATCTTTTGAAGATATATAATTTTTTAGTCATACTTTTAGTTGTATTTTTGATTATTCTTTCAAAGTATTAAATTATTTTTATCTAATATTTGCATCATTATTTACTCATTTGACTACTAATTATTAATTTAATTGTTAATTTAATTTACTACTTTGTTATGATAGCCTTTTATGTTATCTATTATCATTACTATTAGTATTAATATAGTTATATTTATTATTGTTATAATTTTACAATAATTGTTTTATATCATTGTAGGTCTTTACGCATCATCAGTTTTTAACTGTTTGTAAATGTCCCTCACTATTGTATATATATATATACAGTTATTAAGTGGAAATATATTGATTGATTGATTGATTGATCATTAAATAATTAATTAAAGTATATTTTTTTGCTAGACTATTGCAATAGTAATTATATTCTATTGAAATTGATTTAATTTTAATAGTTTATTAAATAAATTACATTTATTATTATATACTGTATAGAATTATAAATATTTATATATTATATTTGCTTTTTTATTCTATAAGTTATGAACGTCTACAAAAACTCTCCTTCAAAAAGGGTTATTGTAACATGTTAAACATGCAGCGTTAATATTATTAAACATGTTACAATAAAATTTTATGAATTCTTTACTAGATTTATTTTATTCTCTATATTAAATAAATATAATTTATTTATTTACAGCTTAGTGTTCTAAATAATATAAATAAATTTTTACACTTGTACCTACAGTTTTTAAAACGTCAAAGAAATGTTAAAGGTTGAATCATCTGAAATCAAATCTTAAACTACCTTTTTTATATTAGGTATGTCTTAAAGGACATGTTTTACTTGTATACTTTTAAAATAAATGTTCAACAACTGAAATTCCGCATCGTGCAACTATGGAGCAGATGATGCGTGAGCTTGGAGTTCAGATCTGCAGACTGCTGAAATAGCTATTGCAACAAAAAATATGACCTCGGGCTACACAAGAGGGTAGCCATGTAAATGCTGTGCACTTTACAACAAAACCACAATGCATGGTTGTGGCTGTTGACCAACTTGCTTGGGGTACAGCTAATGATTAACAGAGTCATATTACACAGTCTGTAGATCCCCTTGCTAAGTTGTATAGTAATTTTTATGAGCAACAATATATTGAAGTACGAAGTAAAATTATTGCTAATATAAGTAATATGATGAGTGACAGAGTGGCAGCAAACCATGCAACTATCACTAAGTTAAATACTTAGTGGCAGAAATTGTTAAACAAACTAAACTGCCAACTTCACTCATTGGATACAATGACCTCTGCTTGCATAAGTCTTCGCTTAAAGCATTGGAAACATTAAAAGGGAAATTTTTTAATGGCAAAGATGTTTCTTCTGTCCCCCCTCTAGCCCCCTGAATACGCCCAGGTGTTAAAAGTGAAAGAAGCTTGTAGCCCAATGTTACACCTATCTTTTGATACCAAGTTATATGCATTTAGATAAGATTTGACAATGTTAAGCGGTTTAAGTTACAAAACCATTATAAATTGGTCATATTTTTGTTAAGGAATCCTTGTAATCAAATTTCGTCACTATAATGCTCATAACTTTTTGTAGAATCATCCGATTTTGATAAAATTTTCAGTTTTAGAATATTTTTTTAAAATTCTTTCCAACGATGTATAACAATTTGATATTTAAACAATTTGAAATTTTTACACACGTACCTACTACTTGATTCAAGTAGAAATACAAACACAACCTAGTTTCAACGAAGGCATACAACTTTAAACTAAAAATACTCCAATATATTTTCAAATTTAATTCTACAAAAAAACAATACAAACACTTGGTTGATTTAAATATATACTAATTTATATAATTTTTACTTAAATAAATCAATTCGCCTAAATGAAGGTCACGCCATTATTTGAGTAAACATACTCTTTTAAATATTGCCGTGCTGTACGTTTAAAAAAAGTTTTTTTATCACGTTAAAAAAACGTTTTAAAAACGTTCATAACTAACTGAGAAATTTCGTAAGTTAATAAAAAAAAATAAAACGTTTAAAAAAACGCTAAAAAAACGTTTAAATTAACATTAAAAAAAACGTTTGCAAAAAAACGTTTTAAAAACGATTGTATTGGTTCTTTTAACGTCCGACCGTAAATTGAACGGAATTAAAACGTTTTAAAAACGTCCTGTGCTTACTGGGTAATCTAGCTATGAACAAATGCAAAGTATAAACTTTTAGACATAGCAACTAACCTCTAGTTTTGGTTAGTTGCTTACGTACGCATTATTGAAAGAATATTTAGACTTTAGTGCAGAACTGTTTATTACATTCGTCATTTTTTATTTAAACTTCATTATTTACTGACTGTGGATTCTTAGCAAATATTCTAAAGCGGAGTTTCATTAGACCTATCTAGAAATATATATAGTCATTTTGAACGGACAGATGTAGTTTTGCTCATCGGTTACTTAGTGAAGCATTAGTGACAACCACAAAAAGTGGCGAGCTGATGACTAGCCACTATTAAGTGTCAAGTTATGTTGTAGTTATAGACACTATTATGTTGCAAAGTTATCAACTTGTTATTTATAGCGGCTGCCACTAATGGTCCACTAAGTAACCAATGAGCAAAACTTTAATGAAACGCTAAAAAATGCCAAATCCACTAAAACAATGTTTTTTAGGGGTAATAGTACAGCTGTCGTGTAGGGTGATATGTAGTCATGTACATGTGACATGTAGGGGTGGATTGGTAGAAGTGAGCAAAGGCTAAATGTGAACTATTGATCCCATTGCTAAAATGCCTCAAGCAAAAAAATTCTTTTTAAAGTTATAGAATTTTTACTGTATTTTGGTGCAACACTAAAGTTTTTTTTACTTTTTGAAAGTTCTTATAAGAACAGTTGACTATTCTGAGGCATTGAATAGTTGTCAAAAAGTAAGAACAAAGAAAATATAAAAAGTTTTGTTTTCTATTTTTAAAAATTATCAAGACTTAGTGTAGAGTTAATGAAAGCTAATCTGAGGTTAATGTGAGTTAATTGATATTTTAGTTCAGTTTTTCCGTAAAATGAGATTAAAAACCATGGTTCACTGAAATAGAAAACCGAAAACCTCTAATGTTAAAGATTTAAACATATCTGGTTACTCTATCAATAAAATTTAAAATTTCCAAATCAGTGCTTTTGATTCAATTAAACAATGTCAGATGTTCTGACTGTTGATCCATTATTTACCTCATCAGGTTCTTTTATCTGAAAAACGTTTTGAAATCTAGAAAATGAATTGTTCGAAAATAGAAAAAAAAGAGAATCAACCTATGATTGTTGTAAACATTCCTGAATGAGATCGAGAAAAGACCCTATAAGTAGTAGTACCTCGACCCTGTACCATGTAAGTAGTAAAAGATCCGATTTAGTAGTAAGCTGGTAAAACAGACCAAGAAAATTCAATCCAAGTTACATAATAGTAATAAAAAAACATCTAAAAACAATAATCCGTATTGGAGTATAATATATAAGTATATATATATATATATATATATATATATATATATATATATATATATATATATATATATATATATATATATATATATATGTATATATATATATATATATATATATATATATATATATATATATATATATATATATATATATATATATGTATATATATATATATATATATATATATATATATATATATATATATATATATATATATATATATATATATATATATATGTGTATATATATATATATATATATATATATATATATATATTATATATATATATATATATATATATATATATATATATATATATATATATATATATATATATATATATATATATATATATATATATATACGGCCATTTCAAAGTGATCTTAAAAGGAGGGGGGCGGAATATATATGTTTTTTTGCCTACTATTGCCTACTAAAAAAAAAAGGTCCTCATTGACCAATATTTGCCGACTGTCAACTATAGATCCAATTTTGCCGACTCTACTATCCAATTTGCTGACTAATAAAAATCGTAGGGGGGGCTAGAATATATATATATATATATATATATATATATATATATATATATATATATATATATATATATATATATATATATATATATATATATAAGATATAAAGAATTTATATTAGAGTATTAGAGCATTTGACAATCTTGGCCATTTGACACGGAAAAGATTTATAATCTTAAGAGATGATTTTTGTTATTTTAATATTAAACCAAATGAAGTAGTCTCTGTATTTGCTAAATTTAGAACAGCAAATAAGACTTTGTATTAAGTTTAATTTTTTTTTTTAAACTTATTGTAAAAGAAATTGTAATCAGTTTTCTTTGGAAAATGGTGAGTTTTATTTTAACTAATTTACATGATTGTTAAAATTTACATTTTAAACAGAATGATAGTTTAATTGATACTATTTCAAACAACATAGTTGTTCTCGCTTGCAAATTCCGCCTTATTGTTAAACATTTTTATTGTTTATCCGTTTTATTCATAGAATAACGGTGAATTTTATTATTGTTACAAAGTACCCTTGTTATGTTATATTCGTTAAACAACTAAACTTTTTTCTGCATTTCTTGTTTTTCATTTGACTAACTCAACAAAGTCTATATTTAGTTTAGCACACCTGCATTTTTGTTTGTAATGTGAGATAATTTGATTAGATGGGGCTAGATGAGTATATAAATAAGGTACCTGTGAGGTGATTTAATCATCACAGATGTGGAGCTAGATAAGTATATAAATATAGTAGTTGTGAGGTGATTGTAATAGATGTGGTGCTAGATGAGTATTTAAGTATTGGGACTAATTCAATTTTTAAACTAGATTACAACTTTATTGCTAAATTACTTATTCCAAGTCATACTTGCAAGTCATAAAAGTGATCTTTATGAGTATTTCTTCTGTATAACTACAAAGCGAAGCAGCGATAATAAAATATAATTCTTTCTATAAAAACTACAAAATCTGTTTTCTTTTTAATAAAGTATATAGGATATAAAATAATGATGTGAATATAAAATGCTGATTTCCCAAATTTAACTGTCACATAATCTTTGAAAAGAAAAAATCCTAATGGTATAATTCTAAATTCGCTATGCAAATAAAAGCCTTAAACGTTTTTATGTAACTTTAGCTATTATCGCGTAATAATTAAAAGAATTCAAACAATATTTCATGCTCAAATGTCTCAATTAATAAATTTGGTTTTGGTTTGGTTTTCTTTGATTTTGTTTTAAGTCTATATAAACTCATCAACCAAAAGTGCAACCCCTTCCTTACGTACTTTTTGGATGTTACTGTTAAATAAAAAATAAAAAATAAAATCTTTTTTTTTTATATTGTAGTAATGCAGAAAAGAAGAAAAACCAACAAATGGTGGAAGTTGTACTTTTTAATTCATTATTTTTACCAATATGTGCAAACAGGTAAATTAAAATTTTAGTTATAAAATCCTTTTAAAGAAAACCTTTGTTATCTTACTTTACCCTGTTTATATTTTACCCTGTTTATAAAGTTCTAGTAATTTGCCCGCTAAATTTTGAAGTGCATTTCTAAATTTTATTTTTTAATTATGCACCGTTGTTTTTTTGGCGTTAAAACATTAAAATAAGTTTACCTTTTATAATTTATTAATACTTCATGTTTTATTTAGTTTTTTATTAATAATATTTGTTAATATTTTATTATTCTATTTTTATTGTTAATGTCTATTGTTTGTTAAAGATGAAACTCTTATGATTTTCTTAAAGCAACTCTTACAAAAAATACTTTTTTAAATTTTACGCTACCTGAATATATAAATATGTATATTTTATTCATTTTATTTTCATTTTTGCGTGTTAATGTCTCAATAGTTTGAAAAATATGCAATAATTTTCAAAACGCTATACTCTACCTTGAAATATTTGATGACTGTTATTTCTTATCAAAAGTATATTAAATATGATCATATCTTATTTAAAATACTCACAAGCAATTTATTTTCAAAAAAATAAATCAAGAAATTTGCAACGTCTATGCGTGATTTCCGTGCGTGACCATACATAAACTGCATTTAAACGATTGCTGTGACTCTATAATACATACCCAGTGGACACGGACGTAAAAAAGACGTCTTTTAAACGTCTTATTCACGTTTTGGACGTCTTTTGAACGTTTAAAAGACGTTTTTTTTTGGTCCGTTAATTTTTTCCGTATTATAAAATTAGTCCGTTTATAAAAGTTTATTTTTTTAGTAACTAAAATTTGCGTTTTTCTGTTTCGTTGTTCTGTGCGCGATAATTCATTCTTTGATTATATTACTAATGAATTTGATTATATTATTAATGATTATATTACTAATGAATAATGAATACTAATGAAAAACCATTCTTTGTTTAGATAATATATTTATAGGTTAGAATTAAATGAAAGTAAATTTGAGATTTACTTTCATTTGATTTTTAAAGTCAGCTTTATTATTATTAAAATAATAGACAAAACATATAGGAGTTAGGGTGCGTGATTTTTTTAGAAATTCCCAAATAAATTCTACAATATTACATTTCTGCAGCTACAGCCTTTTTTTCAAAACGCCTTAACATTATAAAATTCCTTATTGACTTTTTTATAAAATAGGCTTATATGGAAAATAACAAACGTTATTGAATAATTATTTTTAAAAATTATGAAAAAGTTCATAAAGATTATTAGTTTCAAAAAACGCCTTAAAAAATAATATCAGCTTTTAATTTTTTAATTTTTTTTTTAAAACGCTTTACGCATTTGGGAAAAATCATTCGACTACACTATGTTTTGAAATTTTTAATAGTTAATTATAGTTTTATTATTACAATTATAATTATCGTTATATTATATTATAACAATAACACTTAAATAATAAATTACAATTATTATAATAAAATAATAAAATTATAGTTTTATTGTAATAATTATAGTTATTATTATAATATAATAATTACACAGGTCAACAACAAAAAAAAAATTTTTCTGGTGCCGAGCAAACAATTTGTTTTTTGTATTGTATTTCTCATTTTGATTTCAAGTATGCAACTCATTTTTCAACATCATGTCAAGTTGTAAGTAGGGATGTACCGAAGCTAAAATTTTGCCGAAGCCGAAGCTTCGGCCGAAGCCACTTTGCCGAAGCCGAAGCTTCGGCACTATATACGCTAAAAATTTAATCAGCATTCAGATCAGCAGGGGTGTAAAACAAAAAAGGTACCAAAACTAAGGTACTTGACTAATAATATAGAAAAATTGTATAAAAATGAGGACGCCAGTCAGGGTTGCTGTCCCAGGCAGGGCAAAAGCTCTCAGAGCCCCTGTTAGAAAGTTTCTCATTATGTCGTTTCTGATACTTGACCGCACCGAGCGTTTTTTTTTTTAAGCTTAAACTTTTTTAAAACATTCTCCCAAAATTTTTCTACTTCTAGTTCTTCTTTTTCTGTGTGCAAACCATATTAATGTTATATAGCATCTTTTAATGTGCTGTATATTTTACTTTTATTTTTAATGCACCTTTTGTTAATAGAAGTGGATAAAAATCTCTGAACATTACTAGAGCAAATTTATCTTTTGCACTTGATCACTCTTTCTTTAAATAAACACTCTTAGCTGATCTAGTTGTATCTACAACATAAAAAGTTTTACAAACACACTTTATCTTTTTATTGCTATTTATTTCAGTATCTTTTTTCTACTTCTCTGTATTCATTAAACAAACAGTTTCTAAACTAAAAAAAAACCCAAGTTAAAACCATTTTGTATTCTACTACAACTGTTGTGAACCTAGTGCTAAAAAAAAGTACAAATGATAGATTTCTCTCGTATAAATACGTAAGAATACTTTACGTTTTTTATGTGTCACTCCATTGACTAGTTTGTATCTATTTAAGTGACACCTAATAAATTTCTGTAAATTTACGATGAAAATTTGTAAATTTTTATTAATATGGTTAAATAAAATTTTAAAAATTAAACATACACACAATTTAAAATAGTAGCCAAGTATCTTTAATCTTCTTTAAAGAGAGATTACTAAGGTTTATAGGTTAAATGTTGAAACCAAATTTTGTTCTATTTGCGGTAATCCCACACAATAATTAATATGAATTCGTTACATAATACAAATTAAGGTTTTAAAAACTTTTAATTTGCTTTAAATTATAAGATTTTTATTCTGCATAGAAATGCTGATTCAGTTCATCTAAAGTCACACTTGGAAGCTTCAAAGTGTATGAGGACCTTCCCTAATTTTATTATTATTTTAAAAAATATTTTTACTTATTTATTATTATCCCCTCCATAACAAAACACTTGGGAGTAAATAATACTAAGTATATGGTATAGATTCCAACTTTAACTCGGTAGTTCTGAATTTATAACTTAATTAGATACTGGCAATTAGCGTATTTTTATAACTTGTCCAACAGTAGCTTAAAACTTTTATTACTTAAAATTTTTTGCCGAAGCCAAAGATTCGGCAAAAAATTGACCTGGTTTCGGCCGAACCGAAGCTTCGGCAAAATTGCCGAAGCTTCGGCATGCCGAAGCCGAAGCCGAAGCTTCGGTACATCCCTAGTTGTAAGATATTTGGGTTCAAATCTTTAGCATTTAGGGTAAAATCCCTAATTTTGTTCAAAAAAAATTATTTAAAATTAAATAAACCTGGATCTCAAAAGAAGCGTATTTTCATAGAGATTTTGGAAAACATAACTAATTTTCTTTTAAATTTGTTGACAAAAAAATATAAAACTTCATTTCGGCGATGTTTTCCATATATGGACGAGGAGACAACTTATTCAAAATATATGGAGTGATTTTTTTTCCTTTAGCACAAAAATGTTTGTGACCTTAAAAGAATAAAAGCTCACTTTGCTAGAATTTTTACAAATTTTATAGAACTAAAATCAAACTTACCTGCAAAATTTTAACTTTTGTATTTGGTTTTGCTGTTTCCACTCTTTGAATAAAACCATTGAAATCGTCCACGTGACATTTTCTTCTTTATTAAATGATGAAATGAGTCATAACTCATAAATTTGTGACCACTTTCCAAATATTTTAAATTGATTTTGTTAGTTGCGATTTCATTGCCATTAATCATATATATGAGAAACATCACTAAACTCCAATTTTTGTTTTGAGCGGACCAAATAGTGATTTCAGATTTGTCCCGATATTTTTGCAAAAACAGATAATATGTAGAAATAAGCTCTTCTTTGCACCGCCCAGCAAATTCTTTATGCCAAACGATTGAAACAACACTTTCCTTTGTATTCCAAATAGGCACAAATGTTTCATTGTATGTTGTTAATCGCTGACAAAATATTGCTTCTTTAAGATTTTCCATTCTCGGTAGCATGATTACTTTTTCCATGTCTGTCGCCACTATTATTTCTTGTGCACAAACAGTTCGATCAGCATCAAGTCTATATTTGTTTTTGACGTTGCTGACTCTTTTCATGTAAATATTCCATGTCATGCAATCTGTAAAGTCTGGAGTTAAAGTTAATTTAGTGTGATACTTTTCTCCACAATGTGTAAAGAACTGAAGGCATTAGTAGCACTCTTTCTTTGCGTGATAAAAAGTCCGCAAACGTTCTGGAGCTAGTTGTAATAATTGCTCCAAATGTTGCGTGGTCTTTTAAAAAATAATAACACAAAAATAGTTACAATTTGAAATAAAATAAATATTATTTTTAATAAAAGTTAAAATATTGATTTTTATAGAGAAAAAATTTATACACATCGATATATTTTTTAAAAACGTATATTTATTACGGTTTAGATACGTAGCCAAGTTTTTGGAAAAGCTCATTGGGAAAAATTTTCAAGTTATTTATTATTATTTAATATTATTTCATGAGGCGTTTTGAATGCCGCTTTCATCTAGCACACTTGCCTCAGAAACGTAAGATCCGTGGTTCAAACCCCACCTCTGGGCAAGTTTTGCGACATCGGTTGGGAAAGAGGCGTGAACTTCCTATTAAATGCTCTTCCGCGGTGCTCTGTGATAAGACCGTAAGGACTTCTTGGGGCACCTAAAATCAACATTAAAAAAAAAAAAAAAAAAAAAAAAAAAAATCTATAAAAAAGCCTGTCTACGTTGTTTCCGACAAAAAATACAACACGAATACTTATTTTTTAGAATTAATCATTTTTTTCCCAATCCTTAATATAATTAAGATAATAAAGTTTATATCTAAATAAATATTTTAATTACAAACCTCTTGTAAAACTGCAAAATTTAAAATATATATCAAATAGTGTTTTTTTCGAAATACGTAAAAAGCAACTTAAGACGTTTTGAAAAACGGTACTTTAAAGTTTTAATATTTTTGTTGACATGACAATAATGGTTTTGTTGACGTTGCATGCTTTATTTCTTTCACGCGCGATTAAAGAATGCCGCCAAGTTTTTCATATGAACATAAATAATTTATTTACTGTAAATATGTAATTTAAAAGTTCTGTTTTATATGTCGTACTCCACTGCTTATACATAATAATTTCATATTCATCAATTTTGTTATTTTCTTTGAATGTTCGATCATTTTGTAGTAGTTTTGAATTTCCTTAACTAATTTTATTTTAAGTTCCAAAGCAGTCTATGGACCATACACTATATTTTCTTAACTCAAATACAAAAAAATGTTCTCAATTTTATTGCTTAATACAAACTTAAATCTTGTGCTTAGTTCAGTTAAATTGAAAAATTACCATGAACTATTTGACATTAACTGGACTAATCACAAGCTTTAAGTTTTGGTGTATTGTACATATACATACGGCATGGGTTTAAACATGTATTATATTGGCTTTAAATGAGTAAAGTTATAAAGTCTTATTTTGTACTGAGAGTGTTCTAGTTTAAATTTAAAAAATAATTATAAAATATACCTGGCCGAATGTTATACGGCAAAGTATATTTTCTGAATATTTGCATAAAATATACCTTTGGAATCAACTCATCATATGCAATAAAGGCTAAGTTTGATATCTATATTAATTCTAACAATATTAGTTTTTTTCTCAGAATTTTAATTTTCTCTTTTTAAATAATGGTTTAATTGCTTTAATAATGGTTATTGTTTCAAATACTTGAGTTAATTTCTTTAAAGACCATGAATGAGTAACCAAGGTCAAAATTTAAAAACTTTTCCTTCTTTTTGCTGTTTTCAGCTTTTCTTGCATTAAAAATGTGAGCTTATTTAAATTGTCAGTTTTCTTTTGATCTTCTGAATTTGTTTAATTAGTTTGTAAACAACGTCACTTTTAAGATTTGTTGCATTAATATTAAGGGCCACTGATTGTTTTTCTGACATCTATAACTTGCATTAATTTTCTTTTCCAAAAAAAAAAAAAAAAGCATGTTGTGGAATCCCATTATATTATACTGGTGATACTAATTTGTATATCAGATACAATCTGATACCTAATGTATTCGGAAAGTAATCCAGATAGTCATCTTGTATCCAGAAAAAAATCAAGGAAGTTGTCATCATTGTGGTCCTGTAGTGCAAGTCAATAATTAATTTTTTGTATTATTTCTTTATAAAGTTTTGAAGTTATTTTAAAGCAAGTTGTTGTTCCCATAAGAAATAAATGTCAATTTCTTGCAAACCACCCGTGAATATTATGAGTGAAAATGTTCTGCAAAATTTAGGACACAATTTAAAAACTGAAAAAAAAAAAAAAAACTCAATTTTGTTGCACAAATAGTTACATAATTAGATAATTAGTTACATAAAGCTTGTATCTCTTGCTCCATTGTTGTAGCATCTCAGTCTTTTTTATACAAATTCTTGGTCTCTGCTATACTTGCTTGCCCACTTCTTTATATCTTCTTTGATTATCGTTCACTTTTTCATTCATGCTCAAAATTGTTTATTCTTCATGTTGTTCATATCGTTCATATCATTCATTTTATTGTTCATATCGTTCATATCGTATCATTTATCGCTCACAATTTTCATCTATGCTCAAAAATAATTTTTTCCCCTTAATCACCAGTGGTTTATGTTTTCCTAACTCATGCGATTTACAATTTTTTAAGTCTTCTGTCAACTACTTTCTTGCTCTTTAATTATTTTCTTTGTTTTCTGCTCACTTCCACCTTAATTAGTGCACTTTTTTTTTAGGAATTAACAAACCATTTAAATAAGATTTTCTTATGATGAAATCAAATTTTAACCTTATATATTGATGGTCCAGATCTCTATAGTAACGTATTTTTATCTCTCTCAATAATTTGATATGCCTGTCAATCTGTTTGATTTAGTGAATAGCATTTAAGACATCGATGATTTCATAAAATAACATCTGTACATAAAATAACATCTTGTTCATTTAAGATATAGATAAACGCAACATACAATTCTATACAATATTACAAACTTTAAAAATTTTGTAATATTTTTTATATATTATAATGTTAAAATCTTATACCTTTTCCCCTAATTAATCATTATATTAGAAACTAGCTATTTAAATAAAAACTAAAAATTCAAATATATAATTTTATCATTTATGTGTGTTTTTATTTTTAATTTTTGTTTTTAATTTATAGACTAATTAGGGAAAAAGAACAACAGCTGGGTATTGGTGTTTTTTTTTTGACTATTTATTTTTACTCTTACTACTACTTTTTTCAACTGTTTATATACATATACTGTTTATATATATATATATATATATATATATATATATATATATATATATATATATATGCTATCGTTCTCTCTCTCTCTCTCTCTCTCTCTATATATATATATATATATATATATATATATATATATATATATATATATATATATATTATATATATATATATCAGATAACATCCTTAAGATTTGAATCCTTTCTTACCAATTGTAGTATAAAAGTTATTCTTGATAGGCAGCATTCTTCTTCATTTCCTGTAACTTCAGGGGTACCTCAAGGGTCTATACTTGGCGCTATACTTTTTTTTACATCTAAGATGACATTGTTTGCTGATGATTTTTTTTTTTCATTTATTTTTGTCTTGAAAAGAGCCAACACCCTCTGAATACTTGGAGGGGAAAATTGAGCTTGAAAAGGATCTCACTTCTGCTACAGTATGGAGCTCTCAGCGGCTGGTGAACTTAAATAAAATTATATTTTTTCAGCTAATTGTTATTGCTTTAATCTAGATCTTCCTATATTTATGGTTGGTAATGTACTTGATGAGTCTTCTAGGATCAACTCTTACTTACAATCTTTCTTGGAAAACATAAATCAAATCAATTGCAAAATAAGCATCTGTTAAGGTTGCATTGATTTGATATATGGTCTGCATCTCTTTATCGTGCTTGTCACTTTTTTACCCTGCATTCTATTCTTTATCTCTATAAATCTTGCTCCAGATATGGCAACAGTATTCCTTATTTGAAATACTGTTGCCATATATGGAGCAGATCTTCCAATAATGCCTTTTTTTTAGAAAAGGTGCAAAAACTGATTGTAAACATAGTTGGACCTGCTTATGATGATGTGACCTTGCAGGTCCACCTTCAACCATGGTCACATCATCATAATGGGTGACAACTAAAAAACGAGACTGGATTTAAAGACACATATTTCTTTAAAGAAGTAAGATAAAAAAAAAAAAAAGGTTCTAGAAAGTATTTTTATTCTAGCTTTTAAATATGTAATCAGTTGTTCCAATTAAACCATTTATTCTGACTTTATCAATTGGGCCTGGTATAGACTGAGCTAGTCTCCGTATGAGCTCAATATCAGTTTTATTAAGGCAATACTTGATTCTAGAACGTAATTTTTTAAGATTTTCTGCATGCCAATTATTCTTGTAGACAAGGCTTTTCAAAATACTCCAAAAATTTTTGATAGGGCAACATTCTGGCAAGTTTGCAGGGTTATTTCTCAACATAATGCACATTTTCCTTGTTTAGGTACATAATTACTGTTTTTGCATAGTGAGATGATACTAAATCTGGCCAGAATACATATGCACCATCTGAATGTTATTGTCATGTTATTGTCATTTAATTAAACATCATTTTCTTCCTGTGACTGTTCCTAAGTGCCAAAGAAACAACCAACTTCCTGTGACTGTTCTTAAGTTCGAAAAATTTGTATTTGTCTAGTTTTTTTCCTCAAACATCAGTTCTTTGGAATTTGCTCCCTTTATCTTGTTTTCCTCATTCACGAAATTTGCAACTTTTCAAGTCTTCTGTTAATCCTTGTCTTGCTTTATAAACTTCATCTTTTTTCTTCTAGTAACTTCCAACTTTAAGTGGTTGTTTGTTTGCTAAATTGCTCTCAATTTTAATACTTTAAAGTATCTGTTTTGATAAAAAATAAATAAAAATTAATGATACCTTAAGGTACATTGTATTTTTCCCAAACAATTGTTCTGTATCTATTTGCGAATTCTATTCTGTATTTTTATTTAGTTCCCATTATTTATATGAAGTATAAACATTTTGATTCTTTATCTATACATTTATATATATATATTATATATATATATATATATATATATATATATATATATATATATATATATATATATATATATATATATATATATATATATATATATATATATATAATTATTTATAGTTATTTGTTATAAATATCTTATTATCTTGTTTATGAATAATATTATGCATTATTTAAAGCAACATTTTGCAACTGAATTTCTTTCCAGGCATTATTTTGTATTGTGAATTAAGACATATTTTTTTTGCAATGCTACAATCTGAAGATTGCCATCTAAAGGTTATTAGCTTTTAACTTCACTTGCAACTAAATTAGAAGATTTACAAACTTTAATTGAAGCATCAACATCTAGTCAATGTAATAGTTCATCAGAGAATACTTTAACTGGTGAAAATTCTGCAGGAACTTCATATTTAGTTTATAGTTTAAACCTTCTGAATGAATATATATATATATATATATATATATATATATATATATATATATATATATATATATATATATATATATATATATATATATATATATATATATATATATATATATATATATATATATATTTAAGCAGCTTGAAAGAAATCCTTCTTTTTTTACAGATTGGGGCTTGTGGTGAACCCTTGAAAAACTCAGTTATTATTACAATATTTTAGCAATTGTACTTTATAGCAAGTACTTGATTGTACTTTATAACTATTGATACTAATTAATAGTTAAGATTATTTAATTCAATAAATATAAAATATAACTTGGCAAAATATTTAATTATTGTTTTAATTAAATAATTTTATTAATATTTAATTATCTAATTATAGTTATCTAATTAAAAATTTAAATATTTTATTATCAAATTAAAGTTAAACTTATTTCTTTTTTTTAATATTTTACACTATTTCTCATATTATTCTATTCTTTCAGATACATTACTTTTTTTAAATGATGGTATTGCTCGCTGTGTTCTTCCAAAAAACAATGCTTTGTTTGTGTATCCTTTATCAGCTTTTGGAGATTGTTGTAAAAATGCTTCTTTTATTTCAATTGGTCCTGGAATTTACATGGAAATGTATTCAGGACTTTGTATTGAAGTTCCTAAAAACCTTAGTTTATGGGATGGAGCTCAAGTCAATCTAGGAGGAGGTGATTTGTTCTTTTTTGTGTTTTTGTATTGTTTTTATGTTTTCAAGAATTATATTGAAAACTAGCAAATTTGATGAATAAGGGCAAATGTGTAAAAGCAGGATATATATATTTTTTTAATTTATACTTGTTATATAGCATATAACATCATGCCAGAGTGTGCGCTAATCTCTAAAAAACGCATGTAATTGTTTAAAAAGGTGTTCAATCTATTAGAAGCTATGCAACTGGCAAAAGCAGTTTACAAAAAAATTTGCTTCAAAAAATTCACAAAATAAGTTTTGATAAAAATGAAATTAAAAAAAAATCACAATGAAATCTTTAACCCTTATTGTTTTTAAATTTTAAAATCTAAATATTTTAGAATTATCATTTAATAAATAAAAGCAGAGATTTAAAAGATTCAAATTTATGCAAGTATATACTAAACGTTTGTGTGTAAAATATGTTTTAGCACATGTTTATGAAATAATACAAAAAAATATGCATATTAAAAAATTTATGTGTTTGTTCTGATAAATTGCATTATACTACTATTTATAGAAATGCACCTTCATTTATCCTAATATCCTACATTAATATTTAGATATGCATTCTATTTTTACCTCAATATTTTACCTTATTATTCTATTTTAATGCTATTTGTTAAAACAAACAATAAAGATTCAGAATGTTAAAATTTTTATGAGCTAACCAAGTGGATGTTTTTTTTTAGATTTAAGAAAAGAACATCAAAATTTGACATCATGATTTTGCTTTAGAACTATTTAGGACATTGTATTATATATTTAAGACTCATAAAAATATCTTAGGATATATCACAAGATATATCATGATGTACGCTTATCTTATGATATATTACAAGATATATCATGATGTAGGCTTATCTTACGAGATATAGGTATATCTCAGGAATCACAAGATATAGGTATATATTAGGAGAATTCGAAGAGTAAACAGATCAACTTAATTTGGTAAAAATGTTTTAAGTGTCCATGGTTGATGTTAATTTAAACTTATATAATTTATAAAAATTAGATGTTAATTATAAAAACAAGTAAAATTAAAGAATTTTTAAAACCCAATGCTTTTATATGTTAAAACAGAAATTTTGCAATTTTTTTTGATAGTACTATTTTATTTTATTAACATTCGGCTTTATATGTGTGTAAAAAAAAAAAAAACAACTCAGGAAGAAGCGGGTCTTGAATCTCAGACATTCCGTTTACAAAGCCAACGCCTCAATCCAAATAAGCTCAATACGCGTACAAATTAGAAAACAATTATTATACTTATTTTAAAATTATTATTATTATTCTTCTTTCCATATAAAAAAATAAACTTAATTAAAATTAACCAAAATAGTTGACTTATTAAAACTAATTATTGAATATTGTATTGTCATCAGCAAGAGTATGTATGCAAAATTTGAAGAAAATCTATCATCAGGAAGCAAGAAAATCAAAAATCGATTGCAAGATGACGAGTTAACAAAAGCATTGGAATAAGTTTGCTAAAGTATACAAGATGTTGAAAAGTATTCTCAAGACGTTGATAAATACTTTCAAGATGTTGAAAAGTACTCTCAAGATGTTGAAAAGTACACTCAAGATGTTGAAAAGTACACTCAAGATGTTGAAAAGCACTCTCAAGATGTTGAAAAGCACTCTCAAGATGTTGAAAAGCACTCTCAAGATGTTGAAAAGTACTCTCAAAACGTTGAAAAGTGTTCTCAAGATGTTTGAAAGTACTCTCAAGATGTTGAAAAGTACTTTCAAGATATTGAAAAGTACTCTCAAGATGTTAAAAAGTACTTTCATGATGTTGAAAAGAGTTTGAACTTCCTAAAATAGTTTATGTTCTTCATAAATTACACTAATCTTTTTGAACACTTGAAATTAAATATCAAATAAATATAATTATGAAATATAAACTTGCCAGTTAATATTGCTTAAAAAAAATTGCTTATAATTAATCTATACATTTAAATCTTGACTAATTCAAATGTTGCAAAAATAAAGCAACTATTTTCATTGTTGCAATATATTTAAAACATATTTTGAAGCATTGAATATCTTTGATGTTCAAATCTAGATTGAATACAACTGTTATTTCTAGAAAAATATGTTTATTTGAAAGAAGCCTAGTAGTTTTTTGTGCAGGAAAAAAAGGCTTGTTTTGTCTTTTCCTTGTTGTGTAAATGGGATTTAAGTCAAGTTTCTGATAAACTATCAAAACATGGATGTATTGACTATTTATATCAGAAATATTCAAAATTCTGTTGAAAATCCTGGTAAGGATGGTAGTTACACTGTCTGCTTTAATGGATTACTAGCCAGAGTTTGATAGTTTTTTAAAATTATGGGGAGTACTACAAAGACAGTATTAAGGGTTTGGAGACAAGAAGAAAATTAATAATAGGATAAAAATACCTCTTCTGTGCTTGACTTTAATGAGAGAAAAGTAAAATTGAAAGTTGGAATATATTTTATGTTATACACAATAGCAAGTAGTTGTAAACATTTTAAATGCTTTTGCTATAATTTTTTAGTTTATTCAAAATTTGATCGGTAGTAAACAAATTTTTTGTAATTGTTGTTTAAAATGTTTAAATTAATTAATTTATTTTTTCCACATTTATGGCTCATATCATTATTCAAAGTAAAAAAAATGTTTTTACAGGCCTTGTTATGAATATATAATGCATAAAACATAAGCATAAAAAGATGAACCATTTTACCAGTGGTTTTGTTTGGACCAGCAAAGATTTATTTAGGTTTGCTAGTATAATTTATTATTAAAAATTTTGACAAAAAGGTTTTATTAAAACAAATTTAGTTTAAGTTTTTTTTTTATAGTTTAAGTTTAAATTTTTAACATAATTTTAGAGCGTGTTTAATAGCATTTTTATTTCTATGAAATTGTAAAAAATATACATTGATCATTGAACAAAATTAACAATAGATGCACTTAAATAAAATTAAAAGTCAATTTTAAAAAAATTAGCCCAAGAAGTAGCGTTAATTTTAGTTTCTATTTATATACCTGTATGATATTTTTTTTTTTCTATATTCCTAAAGACTTTTTTAACAACGGAGTGTGGCATAAGGTTAATTTAATTTTGAAAATTTTTTTCTATATTCCTAAAGACTTTTTTTAACAACGGTGTGTGGCATAAGGTGAATTTAATTTTGAGATTTTTTTTTCTATATTCCTAAAGACTTTTTTTAACAACGATGTGTGGCATAAGGTTAATTTAATTTTGAGATTTTTTTTCTATATTCCTGAAGACTTTTTTAACAACGGTGTGTGGCATGAGGTTAATTTAATTTTGAGATTTTAGCATAACCAAAACAACATATGCATTTGCAAAAATGTGAGTTTTTTTTAAAAAAAAAAGTCTTTTTTTTATATAAAAAAGATTTCCTTTGATTACATACATAAAAAGCAGTGATCTCTTTGGTCCCTGAATATTACCATGATCAGTGCTTAACTGATTTATGGAAGCATTAAATTTATGGAAGCATTAAATTTATGGAAGCATTAAATTTATGGAAGCATTAAATTTATGGAAGCATTAAATTTATGGAAGCATTAAATTTATGGAAGCATTAAATTTATGGAAGCATTAAATTTATGGAAGCATTAAATTGCAACTGAAAGCTTGTAATTATTAAAATAAAAAATGTTTAAAAACTTAGCATATCACTAAATATGCTGATTTTTTAAACATTTAAAAATCTGGTTCCAAGACCCTAAAATCTGAAATATGTATAAGACTGATGGATTCATGCTTAATTGTGTGTAGAATGTTATAGCAGCTTTATTAAGAGTAAAATATTAGAGGAATGCAGAATAAAACCTAGCCAAAAATCTGATTTTATGTGTTTTTGACTTTGATATCAAAATTTTTTTCATAAATGCAGATTTTATATTCTTTTAAGTAAATTAATATTTTAGGATTTATTATAATACATTTATTATATTATTTTCAATTATATTTATAATTATTACATTTGTTATTACATATTTATTATATAACTTCTTAATAAGACATTTTCACATTTTCTTAATAAAACCCATTTTATTAAGAAAATGTGAGTCAAATTTTTTAATTTTTTATAATATTCTATCTTATTTAAATAATAAATGTTGTTTTTCATTATATATATATATACATATA